TATATTATCTCTAGATGCAGAAAAGGCTTTTGATAGAGTTAAATGGAAGTTCTCATTTGCAACTTTACATAAATTTGGGTTTGGGAACTTCTTCATAAACATGCTACAAACATTATACAGTTCACCAACAGCACGTGTCAGGACGAACGACCAAATATCAGCTAGCTTCTGTCTTCAGAGGGGAACCAGGCAGGGATGCCCACTCTCCCCCTCACTGTTTGCTATCTTTATCGAACCACTAGCAGCAGCAATTAGGCAAACGGGTATTAAAGGGATAAAGTGTAAGAAAATAGAACATAAGATGAGTCTTTATGCAGATGATGTTTTACTCTTTCTCTGGAATTCTCAATCAACTCTCTCTCATTCAATAAAACTGATAAACTCTTTTTCAAAAGTTTCAGATTACTCTATAAACTGGTTAAAATCCATAGTTCTACCAATTAATTTCTCTTTTGTCAATTTGCTTAATACACAGTTGGAGTCAGGGAATATCACATACCTGGGAATTAATGTCTCTCCCAAGTTAGCAGATCTTACCAAACTAAACTACATCCCACTTTTAAAGAAAGTGGAAGATGATCTTGCAAGATGGAAATCCTTACCAATATCACTCATGGGGAGAGTTGCTGCAATTAAAATGATGGTCTTACCCAGAATAAATTACTTATTTTCAATGATCCCAAACAAACCACCAGCTGACTGGTTTAGATCTCTGGACTCCTCAATTACCATATTCCTTTGGCTGGATAAACCTCCAAGAATTTGCTTAAAAACGCTTCAGAAGACCAAAGACAGAGGAGGACTGGATCTACCCAACTTTTATTATTATTTCTTAGCCAACAGGCTGCAATATATACCAAGATGGTTGCAAGATAACCCACTAGATGAGGCTTGGTTAGATATAGAACAGACACTTTGCAATACGATAGAGCTTTCAGACTTACCATTTATTAGCTCAAGCATAAGAAAACATGAAAGCTTCAAAAGTATTAGTATCAGCACCTCTCTGACAGCATGGTGGGAGTATCTTAAAATGACAAGAGTCTTCACTAGTACCATGCAGACGCATACCTATCTGGAATAATCCTGATATTTTGCAAAATAATAAAATGATGAACCTTCCGGACTGGAAAAATAAAGGAATCCTATAACTGGAACACATATATGAAGGATTGGACTTCATCCCATTTAATAGAATAGTCTCCCAATTTGGAATGGATAAGAATAGCTTTTTAGAATACCACCATATTAAATCTGTAGTCAAACAAAAATTTAAGTTCAATAAAATAGAATTAAAAACACCACCAAGGGTATTAGACTTCTATAATCTCAAACCCCCCAAACTACTGTCTAAAGTATATAAGACACTGTCCAAAATAGGCGATAGAATAGCAATCCCTATTGAAAAATGGAAGGTGGATCTATCAGTCAGCTTTGACCAGAACTTCTGGTCCCAAACTTGTTTAAAAACTTTTAAAATGATCAGACACCCCAATTTACAATTAATTCAGTACAAAATTCTACACAGAGTACACTATACAGGTCATCGGATGTTCAAGATGGGGTTTGTGTCGTCTGACACCTGTACACACTGCACAAACAACATTCCTGACAATTACATTCATGCACTGTGGTCCTGTCCACCTGTCCAGGAATTTTGGGGTAGTGTATGTGAGGATCTGTCAAAATGTCTGAAATGTCATATCCCAACTTCCCCCTCTCTTTGTTTACTGGGAAACCTGGACGATGTCCCGATTGAAACATCTTTGGTTCACGTGGTTCTGACTGCCATATGCATCTCTAAGAAAACTATCCTCTTGAATTGGAAAAATAGAGATACTCTTTGCATCAACCAGTATGGAAATCTTTTGTTAGATCATATTACACTTGATATAGCCTCTGCTTCCACTTCAAATCAATCTCTCTGGGCTCCTTTGATCGGTTCCAGCACATAGCGATGAAGGGGGACCATTGATGTTGTCCTGCGGGATGATGTGTGTGTGTGTGTGGGGGGGGGGGGGGGGGGGGGGGTCTGAGTTTGGAGTATCCGGATGTACCCTGGGGGTGGGTTTACTGGGGATGTCTGGGACAGGGGGGCCGTTGCCCCCCTCTGGAGGTGCTTGGGTTGCCTCGGGGGGTGGACTACTGGCGGTTGTGAGTGGGGCCCCTTGGAGGTCTTGGCGGCGGCAATGGGTCACTGCCTGGCAGCTGCATTGCCCCTGGGCGGGTCTGGGTGGGGGCCTGGGGGGGGCCGGCCCCATGTGGGGATCTGGGCGGGGCCTTGGAGGTCGGGTCCTGACATGTATGCTGCCGGGAAGAAGGCAGGAACAAGCACCAGTGCCTGGCCCGGGTTCAGGGGCCTCGGGTAGACCTTGGCTCCTCTGCCGTTCCATCACAGGGGAGGGGGAGGTCCAGGAGGGGGAGGACCCAACCTTACCTGGATGTCCTATGTCTTATATATTCTGGAAGTTGTGCAAATGCAGGGATGGGCATAGACATTCTGCTGGGGTGGGGCTGGGTTGGTACCTTCGGACTCCGTGAGGCTCTGTAATGCTGCTGCTTTGGGCCCTGGCAGGATGGGCTGGGGTCTCCATGCCCTGGGTGGCAGTTTGACAACAGAGGTGCCTATTGGGACCAGTGGGGAGCTGGCTCCCTGGAGGGCTACACCCAACCAGCCATTCCTCCCCATCCCCGCATATTTCTCTCCTCCTGCTCCCTCACATCATCACACAAACATGCACATAGGAACTTGGGGGGTGGACAAGTCAGGGAGTGTGGGTATGGACCCCATTTCCACATTCCTGTGGCAACCTGCCCCCCCAATTTTATTTGCACCTTATACACTTCCACCGATGACACTCCATGCAAACACACACTTAGGGCGTTGGGAGTGAGCACAATCAACAGCACTTGGCAGGGGGATTTCTCAGCCTCCTCCCGAGTGCCGGTGCCCACTTCCAATTTTAAACTGCACTTAGGCAGGTTTATATTCAAATGCAGTGCAGAGTTTTTACCTGACAACGGCACAACACTGACAGTTGTAGGCAGAAAATTAAAATTTTAACAAAAAAGCACTAAAGTGCAAAACTATTGACTACACGTGTCTGTCGCACGATTAGACATGCATTTATATAGTATATCAGGAAAAGGGTAGATTTGGGGGGGGGGGGTGACTTGCTATTTAAGAAGGACATGGACATCAGCAACCTACTCACCCCTTTTCAGGACACCATTACGGGCAAAATGGCGTTGGTAAGAGTTCTAAAATTGAGTAGCGGTAAATTTTGGGTTTACCGCCAAGCCCTACTCTGTTGTAAACGTTGGGCTTATGTTAAATGTGTAACTACTGTGTAATGCCGACTTCTTCTCACTGCACTGTTTTCCCACCACCACACACAGGAACCTGTTCAGAAACATGCTCCCGCACTTATTTTAAAATGTAGGAGGCTAATCCTGAAAGATTTGACTTTTTCTACAAATTCACAAAATATTAGAAAATTATTATTATACTCACAAATGTATGGGCTTTTTTTGGCAGAATTAAGACTCCACTTTCAGAGAACATTGAAGACACTGATCTCAATTGTTTGGAGGCTTTTACCATTTTTACGTCTCTCAGACATGAGCCCTGTTTCACCTTCAACATCTTTACTATGCCATTGATTTATTATCCACTGATCGAGAACATTTTCTTGAGCCGTGGTAATGATTTTATGGGTGTGAAGTTAGTCTGATCCAAACAGGACACTGGCCTTTCATAGATCTCCATCAAACATGAAGACATCCCACATCCAGAACTAACCGAGTTCTTAGTTAGGAGTGTTCCCGTTCACAGTAGGAGCCATACATGCATTAGAGCCCTGATATGGGCCAGCAGGTCTGAATGAGGCTTTTGTATGTGGCAAAGTGAAACCTGGTGGAGGTGGAGGGCAGATTTCTGCATGAGCCAACCCCTGCTGTAACTGCTCCCAGCCATCCACCACAGAATCAGAGGGAACATCACGCTAATCATTCTGACAATGAATCTGTTCCTCAACGGGGTTCTGTGTTTCAGAGGGAAACCGGAGACACCAGACAGGACCGGCCAACATGATAGGGTGCCAAAATGTCAACAGTGATATAGACAAAGAGATCCTGTAATCAGGCTGAGAACAGCTCTGTACTGGAATGAAAAACCTCTGTGCCACTTTATTAGGTACACCTGTTCAGTTCTTTAACATAAACAGCTAATCAGCTGATCACATGGCAACCCCTCTAGACGACAGCCTGCTGAAGTTCCATCTGAGCATCAGAATGAAGAAATGACATGGTTAGCAGGATCATGCCCCATGTCACAAAGCTCAGATCATCTCTGGTTTCTAGAACATGACAATGAGGTCACTGGAGGTCACCAGATCTCAGCCTCGAACCTTTGGGATGTGGTGGAACAGGAGGCTCCCGTCCTGGACTAAGCTGAGTGATGATGTCATGTCACATCTGGACCCGAACCTCTGAGGAACGTTTACCATGACATGAAGAATTAAGGTGGTTCTGGAGGAAAAACAGAGTCCAACCTCGTACTACCAAGGTATACGTACTAAAGTACTGTGTCTTTTATTAGTAATATAAAAGGATATTTATATTTATATTTATATTATAAGGATATTTTTCCTTCAAGACACAATTATTAAAACTGTCAGTGACGCCTTTGTGAACTCAAAGCTTTGTTACATGTAATTAATTATAATTACAGTAAGAAGCCCTGAAATAGATCAGGGAACCTTTAAAAACGCAGCCCATGCCCTTACCTCACATGTACACGTTTGGAAGTGTATGCAGAAAACCTGATGAATAAGGTCAAAGGTGGACCACACCTGGTCAATGTTTGACCTGATCTTCTTTTGTCTCCACATCAAACGGATCATTCAATGGTTTTTATAAGTGGCCCGGTGGTGAACTACAACCAGAGGTGTTTTAGGTGAATTTGTGAATGATCTGCAGGTCTGGTTTTTGGTGCTCACCTGGTTTCAGACTGCTGTTGAAGTAGAAGATGACCATGATGAAACACCCCAGACACAGGGCAAACACCATGGGGTTTACTTTGGGTTTCCTCATCCTGAGCTTCTGGAGACGACCGAGGTCCGCAGCTTTCATGCGACTAACGGTTTCTTGATGACCGATAAGAGCAACAATCCGGCAGGCTGACCTCTGACGCTTCTTATTATCCTGAGCATCTTCACATGTCCAGAACGGAGGACCGCAGCGGCGAGGCAGAGAAAAACAAGGCGGCGGCAGCCCCCCGGCTGCTGCTCTGGCTGTCGGTTACCGTCACGTCTCCACTTGGTGCGGTGAAAACAGCGGAGCCGGCTTCATTACTGCCGCCGTGGTCCGGGTGGAGGCCGCCGGCCGGTCGGTCTGTCTGTGTAAAACGGCATTTGAGACCTAACGGGGCCTTCTCCTCCGTTGGTTTACCCGTTTCTCCCCGACACCCCGTTCTCCCCGTTCACCGCTGCTGTGCGAGCTGGGGGTCAAGGTCCGGTCAGCGCGTCTTAGAGGAAAGAGTTCCGGTTCTACCTTTCAAAATAAAAGTTTCCCGTCAGCCCTACAGATTTCCACCCATCTTCTCCCTGCATAATGAACGTGACACGTGTGTGTGTGTGTGCGTGCGTGCGTGTGTGCGTGTGTGTGTGTGTGTGTGTGTGTGTGTGTGTGTGTGTGTGTGTGTGTGTGTGTGTGTGTGTGTGCGCGTGTGTGTGCGCTGTATATTCATTACCTTCTGGGGACAGTTTCTTGGGTTTATCCTGCAATGTGGGGACCTTTTGACCTTGTGTGGACATTTAACTGGTCAAGTGCCATGGGGGTTAAAGAACTCTAGAAGGTTCTATATAAACACAGACAATTTATCACTTTATTCCACATTTCATTTGAAGCTTTAAAACACCATGTTGGTACAGAGAAAAGTTGTAGTATTACCTTCTGAGTGCTCAGACCCTGGTTCAGTTTCAACAGCAGAAAAATGCCTAAAAATAGTTTATTGATTGTCCAACCATGAAGTGCAGTAGATCGGTTATTTTATTTTGAAGTCTTTCTAAATGGATATCCGGTGTTAGTTTGTCTTTTCCACTGACTGTCAGCGCTGCAAATGTTCACACGTGTTAGTGAGCAAACCACTGGATGTGTGCTAATACTAGTTTACCCATTTAATTATAGATTCACTAGGATAACTACAATAAAGCAATAACGTGTGTGTGTGTGTGTGTGTGTGTGTGTGTGTGTGTGTGTGTGTGTGTGTGTGTGTGTGTGTGTGTGTGTGTGTGTGTCTTCTCCATCCCCAGTGAGTCGTGGTGGATGGCTGCTTATACTGAGCCAGGATCCTCTGGAGGTTTCTTCCTCTTAAAAGGGAGTTTTCCTCTCCACTTTCGCTAAATGCTTGCTTAGTATGAGGATTGCTGTAAAGACTCTGACACTAGTCAGTGACTTGATGCAGTTTGCTGGGTTCCTTATGATTGGCTTAATGAACTGACCTGGATTGGAATGTTTACTATGTGAAGTGCCTTGAGACGACACTTGTCGTGATTTGGCGCTTTATAAATAAAATTGACTTGAATTGAATGTGTCTACTTAGTTGTTGTTTTCCCATTTTTAATGATTATTTCTGATTATAATCGGTCACTCTGTGTTTTTCATGCAGGCTGAACATGAAAATAGTCTCCTACATCTAGCTCCAACATTAGCTTCTGATAGAAGACAGACAGCGAAACTCTAGGATTTGAAAAGCCTGACAGATCTACGTCACACCATCACTCAACATTCATGGACCCACTTAACCATGTGGTCACACTATGTCCTTCGCTCGTTAGGGGATTCCTGTATTCTACTTGGAAAATCAAGACACTGGCTGCCGAAGTGCAAAAGAACCAAACTAGTTACTGGTTACGAGGTTATAAACACAGTTGGGACAGTGGAGAGATTCCTGTCGGGAAGAAATAAAAAATAGAATCTGATCAGTCGTAGAGTAACAGGTTATCATTTACATTTAAGGAGTCATTCTGGTTGGAGTTAGTTTTATTTGGAAATGTTGTCTCAGGCCCTGTCCACACGTAGCCGGGGATCTGCCAAAACGTAGATATTCTCCTACGTTTTGGCCTGTCATCCACACGAAAACGGAGTTTTTTCACACGAAAACGGATCTTTTTAAAAACTCCGGCCAAAGTTAAGATCTGCGTTTTCTCCGTTTTGGGTGTCTGCGTGTGGACAAACAAAACCGGAGTTTTAAGGTCCGCAACGTCACTTTCTGCGACAAAAAATGCTGACATCACGTGTGCGACCTGTGTTTACACTAGCCGACATCATGGAAGCCCTCAGATCTGCGCTCTGTCACTACCCGATCCATCAATTGTCCAAGCGCTTTTTGCTTGTTTGTTTTTGCAAGCAGAATTACTGCTCCTTGCGGAAGACCACAGACGAAGGATGAGGTTAAGAACAGGGTAAGTACTGCCGCCTACAGGTCTGGCATGTCCTTAACAACGCATTTATCCGGGTACGTGTGGACAGAGTTTGTTTTTAAAACGCGGTGGTGTGGATGCAAGTTTTTGGAGGGGCGGATATTCGTTTTTAAAAAACCCGGCTACGTGTGGACTAGGCCTCAGAGTGCAACTGTCACGATACAGGATGGTAGGACCCAAAATGCAGGAACCCAAGATGACACGAGGCAGGTGATAATATAAAGAAAAATCCTTTATTTTGAAGGATGAACCAAAGAATAAATCCAAGGCAGGGAGCCAAAAGTCCAAAATCAAAACTAGAGACATAAACACTGGAGACTAGAGAAGACTGACAGAATAATGGGCTCGACACACGGGAGGCGACAAACGACCGCAATCAGCAAAATTTGTCACCGTCGCTTTTATTACCTGACACACGGGAGGCAATCCGTGGCAGCGGCAGCAGCAAAGCCGTCTAAGCGTTCTGTTCCATGGCGAAATCGAAACTTCCGTTATTTTGATTGGCTGTGTCAGGTTGGAGGGAATTAAGGTTATTTAAGCGGTTCAGAGTTTAAAAAAGTGGTAGATATGATGTTTCACAATGTGCTGCTAGAGTTATGTGAAATCTTACTTCTGATTTTACTATATAAAACATAATAATAATCAACTTCTCCTTCTTGTTTGCTCGGAGATGTACGGAGCATCCTGTCCGCTCATTGGTCAGTGAATGAAAACTCCGTTGATTGGTCCTCGTCCGAGCGACAGCGATGAAAAGTAGAAAATGTTTCAACTTTCTGAGATCGCGTCGCTGGGTCGCCTGTGCATGACACGTGCACGAGCGCAAAATTTCACACGCACGTTTTTCGCGTTTCGCTTGGTAGGAGGGAGACCCGCGATTATCGCTTTGTCGCGCATGTCTCATTGAAAATGAATGGAGGAGAGGCGATGTTGCCTCCCGTGTGTCGAGCCCATAACCACAATGGACAGACACAAGACAGAGACAAGACAGGGCTTATATACACAGGAAGGAGTAATTAGGGAAAATGGCAGCAGGTGTGTGGAGTGAGGGCTGGAGGGAAGACAGGTGAATATAATTATCTAAATGGGAAAACAGAAACAGAGGAGGGCAAATAAACCTAAGACACAAAACTAAACAACAATTATCTAAAGACAGAGGGAAGGGCTCACACACACACACACACACACACACACACACACACACTGACACATACGTAAACTCACACACACATACACACACCAACAGACACACAAAACACCAAGCTGGGGAAGGGCATGCACACACACACATCGAGCTGGGGACAAAGAGGCTGGAGCTACACCTGGAGGGGCTGGGGATGACTTCATGAACACCGGACCTGAGGGGAATGATCAGAAGGGCTACATCAGAAGACACATAAGTGAGACGCAGACAAAGGACACATGAGGGCGCTATGAGACACAAAAGGGGAATCTAGAGAGGGATGGAGAACATCAGGAGACACATGAGGGAAGACGCAGATGGAGACCATGACAGCAACGTCCTCTGAGTCATTCAGTCTGGTTACCTTGACAACGTGGCATGTATGATCAGAAGAGGAGGTTCTGGGGAGTTCTTGTAGTTGCAAAGTAAAATATGAACTGGAATCGGATTTGTGTGGTTTGTCTGTCACTCCACAATTGGTCTCAAATCACAGCATAGCTGAAGGATCTCCTTTCGGTGCGCTCACGGAGAATGTGTTTACTCCAGAGAGCACTGGTAAAAAATGATGAATACCACACAATGTGTAAATTAGTTCCTATATGCATGAAATATGCACAGATCTGTGCACACGTATGGTTGCTAAATGAGGCTCCTCGCTTTCTATACCACTTTGCTCCTTGTTATCTTCATGTTTAATACTTTTCCCTGTGTCGTCTCACTTTCTCGCAAATTTATGGGCACAAATGTTTAGATGTGTATGCATTAAATAAATATGTACTTGAGTTGATACTGACATGTGGTGAAAGTTTTGTATAAATAGCTCACATATAAGTACTCTTACTGATAAAAAATGCAGATTTCCCCCCAATCCCTAACCCTAACCTGGAAATTTAGCTCAATGGTCTCACCGAACCCCTCCGAGCCCCGGGTTTTTACCTTGGTGACCACCCGAGCCGCATTCCACTTGGACTGCCTGGTACGCATCAGCTGATTGTGGAGTCCCACAGGCCAAGAAGACCAGATAGGACTCCTCCTCCAGCTTGACAGCACCCCTAATGGGGTTGACACCACGACAGGCACATACCCTGCGGCCACATTCCTGGTCGGCTGCCTCAACAATGGAGGCACGGAGCATGGCCCACTTAGACTCAATGTTCTCCACCTCCCCCGGAACCAGTGTTGGGAGTAATGACACTTAAGTATAACGGCGTTACTAACGGCGTTCTTTTTTAGGTAATGGAATAATCTAATTAATCCCTTTTCCCACTGTTGCAACGCCGTTACCGTTACTGGGAATGGACGGTTGTACGTAAACAATCGCAAAGCTGAGCCGGCTTCAGGGAGCCTCTTTATAAGTGGCCAAATGTGGCACGCGATCATGTGTTTTTCGCAAAAGATAAGGTGATGGCGGGGGCACTGTGTCCGTGCTGCTGCAGACATCCTTATAGCTTTTACCTAACTTTATTTTTATACAGATTGAAGCCGTGCTTCTTAAAAATTTTCACTAACTGTTAGTAGTGGCTGTCTTTCAGTCTCTGTGAACTGTGGCTGGTTGTGAGCTGCCTGCCTCTTCACAGTCAGACTTAAGAACTGTGTTAGCAATCCATTTTATTTTCATTTCATTTATTTATAACCACCTTCCACGACCTTACAGACCAAGGTGCTGAAGACAACCAAAAAAGCTCATAAGAACAAATATAATGTGTATGATGAAAAGAAAGCAATAAAAAAACAATCATAAAAATGAATGTTGAAAGGAAACAGCAAACTAAAAACGTGTTAAACCAGCTGAAAAACAATAAAAGTCTGTTTTTATTGTAAAGTGACCTGGACGTGCTGAAAAGTGCTTTAAAAATTATCATCACT